ATTCGGGTGTGGGCTATGTTATGAGTCTACGTACGAGCAAGGCAGGGTCGCTATGATAAGGGCTCCTTGGTTCCGAAGGCAGCTGGTTCCAAGGAAGGCACGCGCATCTGACGGGAAGCTACGACTCGTGCCCCTGTCAGCCTTGTGATTGGCTCGGAAGCAGCTGACTGAGTCCTTGACAGCCACACACCTCGCACAAGCGTCATGAAACCTCGCCCCTCGCAGCAGCAGGGACTCGAAGCTTAGAAGAAGCAGGGCAACGCTAGAGTAGTACAAAGTGTATCGTGTCTTTGCGATGCGGTGAAGCCATGCACTTTGTCTGAAATGCTGTGAAATGCCGCGAGAACGATGTCGCGATGTTCGCAGCTGCTGCATTCAGCCATCTCGATCGTGACTTCCGTTCGCAGCCGATGCCCCATATCACCATGCTGTGTGTATCGGCTTCTTACGTTGGCCATCCGTCTCTCCATGCATCGCTCCCACACCGGCGATTGGCGCTATCATTATCGCGCTGCGGGGTCCATCCCACCATCCAAAGGTCCGATTTCGCCATGCGCCTACTAATGAGAGGCTCAGGCACATGGTGAGGGGCCTGCTTTCGCGGCCAGCAACCACCGTCTGACACACGTGTTTGCCCGACAGGCCTCACTGCAAGACATCCCGTCGCAGACGATCGCCAAACTCTACAGAGAGCTTGCGCAACCCATCGGAGCTTTTTGCCGTCAACCGAGGGACGTGAGCGTTACGACCAGACAACGTGATAATGCCTCAACCGTGATTTGCGTTGACAACATACTTCGTGATAGCCTAGTGGGTGGGGATTCCGTTAGCGATGCGACTACACACACACAAAAGTTCGAGTCAAAATCGACGTACCGATTTGAGGACGTTGATCTGCTGCACCGTGCGAGTGAAAACGGCCCGGTACTGCTCGAGGTTCTGATGCACTACTTCGTTGCGCGTAGTGCGGCCTTCGCAGATGGCTTTCATCTGGACCTCCATCTACCCAATGTGTTAGCGAGCATGCCGGGTCATCAAAGCCCAACATCCCACTTACTTCTTTCCGGAGGAATGGTTTGCTGAGACTTGTCTCAAACCCCACGTTGTCGTATCCTTCGATAAGCGCGATACCCAGCGTCGTTGGGATGAACTCTTGTATTCCGCCCGTCCCTCCTCCGTTGTTCTGGCCTACAGCTGCGCCGCCTCGCCCACCACGTCCCCCTCGTGCCCCTCCTCTTCCTCTGCCGCGGCCTCTACCTGCACCTGCGCCATCTGCGGCTGCTGCTGCGCCGCCCGCTTTGAGTCTTGCAATGACGTATTCGCGGTCCTTGATCTTGGCGATATGCTCGGCCATGGTCGCATCTGTGCCGATTCCGTTCGCATCCATGAGCGCGATGAGTTCCGGCTCGGTGAGATAGCTAGGTGCCGACGTTTGTCCGTCCAGCATGTTCGCTTCTGTAGGCTCGAACGTTTCACCTACCGTGTACTGGGGGAGCACTTGACTGCTCTCCCACTTGTCGTATGGATAGACGTCGAGGTAGTTCCTGGCAATCACGGTAAGGCCATGTGCATGGAACATCTCGCCTCCGTACTCGATCTCGATGTCTGTGGCTTCGCCGACAGCGTCTTCAGAGCAACATGCGAGAAAGCGGCGGACGACAAATTCGTACACAGTGCGCTCTCTGTCGTTGAGCTGAGATGATGCGACGTAGTTGACGGGATGGATGGGCGGATGTGCTTTGTCGTTGTTGCGACCCTCGCGAGGTTGATGAAAGCCACCGTTCATGAGATTCTGTGCGAATGGACCCCAGCGACCGTCTTGTGTTTGCCTTCCGACAAGCGCTCGCAGGTCCATACCACGGTCAAATTGGTCGGTTTCAGTACGTGGGTAACTGATCCACCCTTTCGTATACAGGTCTTCGGCCACTTTCATGACGTCTTGCGAAGTCATGCGAAGGAACCTACTTCCATTCTTTTGTAACTCGACTGTCGTCAGAGGTAATGGTTTCCACTTCTTCGTGGGTTTCTTCGCCATCTTGATCACTTTTGCTGTTTTCGAGAGCAGACATCGCTCGAAGATAAGGACGACCGCCATACGATCGAAAAGGTGACCTCGTCGCCAGTTAAACTTGACTTCAATTTCATCTTTCTTGTGTGCGAGCTTGATGTACCAAAATGGCTCGGGAACAAAATTTCGCACTCGCAGATAGCGGTCGACAACGAAACCTAGCGTTGGAAATTGACAGGAGCCGTAGCTGATCAGCTTGAATCGCTCTTCGCCCTGCTGAGGAATCATATTTTGTAGCGCCAGTGTCTGCATGCGTGTGAAGGCTGCACCGAGCCGCAGATCTAGCTCAATACGAGCCGAAACAGCCTGAGCCTGCTTCTCGTCTAGGCGGATCGGGTTCTGTGAGGCTTGTATAACATGCCTGAGTTACGTTAGTTGATGCTCATGGAGATCTTGCAGTGTCACAGACGCTCTCTCGATGTTGCTGAAGCGCGCTCTCCAAACCTGCATGTTTGGGTTCGCCTTCAGCGCAATATCACGAATCTCAGTCCCGATATGCTCGCCCTCGCGATCACAATCAGTCCAAATGAACAAGATGTTCGCCCACCTGGCTTGCGCCTCGATGTTGCTCGCTACAACCTTTTTGTCCTGTATATGGATTAGCAAGCTTCGACAGAATGAACTAAATCACCTACTTCTGCTATGCTCGACACTATGGGTGCCTCGAACAGTGCTGCGGGTTGACATGAGTGCCATTTTTTGAACCGATCGTTGAAGTCCTGCGCAACGATATGTCCGGCAACGCATGTGAACGTTACAGAGCATTGCCCCCAGTTTTGGAAGCGGAAATCAAACTTGTAGTTCTTGACCCACTGGATACCGCGGACACTTTCCTATCTGAAGTCAGCCTGGGTCCGATCTGCACGGCAGGCCAGGAAGGCGCTCGTATCCGTGCACAGAATACCAAGACATATGCTGAAAGCGTCTGTCATCCTCTCCGAATATCGAGATATCAATCAAACACAAGTGTGAACTTTCAAGGTATATGTTGAAGGTAAATGCGACGTGCTGAACTTACTGCTCGGGCTTGGCCGCCCAGATGGTTTGCGACTGCCTTTGCAATCGATGGCTTTTCCGCCACGCACAACACCCGAGTCATATTTCTGGAGTCTCGGTGGAATCGCGAGAGAGGCTCGACGTGAGGCTGGGGATAATGGTGGGGAAAGATCCTCACGGTCATGTGAAGACGCGCCAGACCAAGAAAAGGCGCGTACTAGCGCGTTCAAAAGCCGCACGGACGCTATCGCAGCTCGCTAAGCCGGGGACGCCGGGGACACCAGGGAAAACAGCTCTTCATGAGGTCATTGTCCGCTTCACACAACAAACGCTAACCCCAGCTTCCGAGGGGCGCATCGCAACATCCCCATCTTCATCAACCCTCATCGCAACGATGCCTGACCCACGTACGTACACCGACATGGCCCTGCCACTTGTCAAGACGCTGCCCGACTGCGTCGACTACTTCAAGACCGTCGAGCCGTTCCTGCCACAGTTCTACGACCTCCCCTACAAGGTTGCAGCGCACATCACCGATGTGCAGGCGCTGAAAGAACTCTATGTCAACACCAACCCGCTCATATCGTCGCTGGCATTTGCCACGATGTTCGTTACGCCGATCGTGCTTGCCGTCTCCGAGATCAACCGGAACTACTCGCAGGTTGACAGGATCTGGAGTATATTGCCTGCCCTCTACAATGTCCATTACGCGCTTTGGGCTCATCTCAATGGCCTGCCAACAATGAAGCTGGACCATATCATGGCTGTCTCAATCATTTGGGGTGCCCGCTTGACTTTCAACTATTGGCGCAAGGGCGGATACCAGGTCGGCAGCGAAGACTACCGATGGGAAATTGTCAAGGACTACGTCGGCGGACCCGGCATGTTCATTTTCAATGTCACGTTCATCTCGCTAGGGCAGAATGTAAGTATACTCCTACTATTTGCTATCAGTGTACGAGATACTGATCATGGTAGATTCTTCTTTGGCTCATCACCACGCCCACGTATATCCTCCTCCTCGTGAACCGCATCAAAGGCAATGACATCACAACCTACGATACCCTTTTCGGCCGCTCCATGCTCGCTATCGTTGTGTTCGAGTTCTTTGCCGACCAGGCGCAATGGAACTTCTACAAGGCGAGGAACGCGTATCAGAAGACCGCTAAGGTACCATCCGACCAGAAATACACTCGTGAACAGTTAGACCGTGGCTTCAACACCACTGGTCTTTTCAGCTGGTCGCGCCACCCCAACTTCGCAGCTGAGCAATCCTTCTGGGTTTGCCTGTACCAATGGTGCTGCTTGGAGACTGAGACTTACGTCAACTGGGCGTTTGCCGGTGCATTCGGATACCTGATCTTGTTTCAGGCTAGCACTTGGTTGACTGAGCTGCTCAGTGCGGGCAAGTACCCTGAATACAAGGTCTACCAGGAGCGGGTTGGAAAGTTCCTTCCCAAGTTCGGTACTAAGAGCATGGACTTGCCGCAGACGGAGAAAGAGAAGCAGAAGGTCAAGGACGCGAAGGCTGGCAAGGGCTCCATGAAGACTAAATAAGTACACATGGGACGGCTATGCCACCAGCACGAGACCTATGGGTGAAGAGGCCACATAATCGAAGAGGGATGATATGTGGCCAGCCAGATGAGGGGTAAAGATGAGCAGACAGATGCTCAAGGTATGATGAGGATCTCAACATCATCTACGTGACTATATTGACCCAAGCATAATCTACAAGAAAGTAATTGACCACCCTGGGTTACGTCACAGAAGTTGCCTTAACATCGTTACTCTCATATTCTTCCATCGTGAACTCTTTGGCTTCTTCGTTGCCTCTTTTTACGATCTACCAATCTCTCCCTCAACTCGAAACCATGCCCTGCTCCTACGATACCGTCAACCGTTGCGGCTCCTATCAGATGCAACGACAGTCTCTTCAGCCATGCGACTTGGTCTCCTCGACCGCGAACCTGATTTTGCCTGTGAACATCTTCTTCACATCCTTGAACGAAAGCTCTGATGACACATTCTCAGCGTACTGTGGAGCAAGAAACTTCACATTGCCAGCGCAGTGAAAACTGACTCCATCGCCGACGATCTGGGCGAGAAAGTTGGTCCATGCTCTCGCATTGTACAACATGCGCCGCAAGTCAAGCTCGACAACGACGTTACGAAGCGCAGCGAAACCATAGTCACCGTTTGCAAGCTTAGCGAGTTTAAGCCACTCATCCCTCATCGGGAGGATCCGCACAACGACCCGCCGAATGAGATGATGAAATGCTTGTGGGGGATAGGCGAAGTAGAAGCGCTTGTTTAACCGTCTGTTTCCGATAACGACAGACTGATCTGACGGCTCTAGATAGAACTCATTCTTGGTCCAGAAGATTTCTCGCGCCATTTCGGCGATCTCGCGTGTCATTACCAGGTGGGGAAGTAACTGACGATGGACTATTGAAGGGTAGACTGTGTTGTTGCCCGCTCCGACGCGATTCTCGGCTTTCATATTGAACTCAAGAGTCAGGCTCTTTAGCTCGGCTGGCAGCCTGTTCCATCCTTCAGCGAATGCGGACTTCAGCGGCGCTGATGACGCAATGATAAGCAACCTTGAGGACGCGATCTTGGTGATGGACTGGGGGCCAGCGTCGACGTCAACGCTGTTGCCCTTTATCAGAGTGACCCGATATGGTGAGTCGCTTTTAATATAGATAGATACAGGTGGATTGAGCTGGAGTGTTGTCGTTAATTGGATAACATCTTCGTACATATCCACGTCGGGGACCTTGCTGAGCATCTGGATCTTCAAGGAGGAATGCCGGGCGGCCATCATCGCCGTGGCTGCGAGTGCCGTGAGTCGTGTAGGTGGCAGCGTGTCTCGAAAGCGCTTGCGCGATGGTAGGGAGGTCGAATATGAGAGGAGAGTGCAGGAACTTGCAATCGTGGGACGGTGTCAGTGCGGAGGTGAGACAAACGCTGTAACAGTACTAGCGTACAGCAAATGTAAACTGTAGTCAAAGCTTGGAGTGAAAGAGAAAGAGTCGTGTCTTGCTTCTATTCAACAAAGGCTCCATGCTATCTTTTGACGTATGCCTAGGTCGAGAGTGCAGCTACGTCGAAACTACTGAATCCTTGATCTTAACCATCAAAGGTATCTTCTCCCACAACGAGTATATCTTCTGATCCGCGATCCAATCCCGACATTCGGGGAGCAATTCGAGATCGAAGTTGAAAAGTACTTTGCTCATAATGAGGCGCATTTCGTGGAGGGCCATGCTAATAGCAACATGTTAGCGTCTTTGCGATGTTTTGGGGAGCAAAGCGTAGCGTTACTTACTTCTTGCCTAGGCAGTCCCTTGGACCCACATGGAACGGCTGAAGAGCTGAGCGATCATCGGAGGCGAAGCGTGGGTCCCCGAGCCAGCGCTCGGGGATGAAACGTTCGGGGAGTATGAAGTTATCGGGGGAGTTGTACATTGCCAAATGAGAGGCTGCGACATTCGTCTACAGGATTTAAGTATTAGACACCTGTTTGGAAAAGTGTGAGGGAGATGACGACGTACATTGGGAGGAACGAAAATTCCACAAACAGTCGACCCTTCAGCGGGAGTGAGATGCGGCAAACCAATCGGCACAGGAGGGTAGTGTCTGAACGCCTCCTTGATGCACGCATTGAGATAGGGTAAACCAGCGGTGATTTCCATGTTGACGTCGTCTGACGAACTGAATGCCGTCCGAATCTCATCCACGAGCTTCGCCATCGCTTCAGGGTGTGTCAGAAGCAGGTACGTCAGTCCACTGATTAATGTCGCTGTCGTTTCGGTCCCAGCTATCATGAACAACTCGCCGTTCATATCCATAACAGGGCGGGTCAGGCCCGCTTTACCTTTGTCTTCTTGTTGGAGAACTAAGTCCCACAGATCGACACCCTCGGACACCCGTCCCTTTTCAAGTCGCTTAGTGACCCTTTCAACCGTGTAATTGTGATGCTCTCGCCGAAATGTCGCAATTCGTTTACCTAACAATGTAAATAGCAACAGCTTGGCGAGCGGGTAGTAGTTGAAGAAGATGCTCATTAGCGTGCCGCGCTTGATGCCTTTGAAGATGACTTGAATCCAGGAATTATATTCAGAGTTATCCAGCAGGTGTAGAGGTTCACCAAATGTTAGGTCAGCCATGACGTCGAAAGTGGTGAAGTTGTCTGGAGATAGTTGTACAAAGTCAGTGCTTGTCTCACATGCAGCTCGTACAGAGATCTAACGTACACATTCGGACGAGGTCGACCGCGTTCGCTTGGACACTTTCTCTCAAATTGCGGATAAGTTGATCGGCATATTTGATAAATAACGGTGACTGCTGTACGAGCGCTCGGTCGGAGAACGCAGGAGAGAAGATTCTACGGATTCGTGCATGTTCGACGTTGTCTCGCTCTGCGACAAGTGAGTTGGCTCCATTAGGAGAACTTCCCTGCCGGTTCCAGTTCTTGGGCGGCGCGGAGCCTGGTCCTTCCTTTGACCCATAGCCGTAGATATCGCGCCAGGCTTTTGGGTTGGTGAAGCTGAGTTCGTCAGGCGAGATGCGCACTATCTCTCCGTACTGTTTGTGGAGCTGGGCAACGTGTCGCGGTAGTTTGCCTTTCGCTATAGCAGTGAGGTACGGTAGGCGAGTAAAGGCAGAGAACTTTGGTCCAGGAAAACGGCTAAGTGGGTGGAAGTAGACTCGGTAGATGCCTCTGACTATCCATCGTACAACAGTCTGCCAATGTTAGAATACCCGGGTATCAGAAAGCGGATTAGTGCAGACAAACAAACGCAACGGCTAGAGAAGCAATTTTCGCTACAGAGAGATTCCCAATGATGACAGAGAGCCTAGGAAATGTGCTCGGTTTCGTAAGGATACCCATCATGAGGAGCGGCGGTTGAAGGTTGGGGGCAGCGGAATGTCACGGCGAGAAATGCTTCCTATTTGTGTTGCCCTCGTATTTTTCTCGGTGTGCATCGAAGCAGCTTGATATGCATCAACCCATACTTCAGGGGCGTTCTGAAGGCAACGGGTTAAGTTGCGTCGACGCGTCACAGGGGCCATGCCGCTCGCTACTCATAGATTCAGGTGTTCTCCACGACGCCGACCTTTGTCCGGACCGTGCCACGCGGGGTATTCGGACCGTTAGAGTGGAATACGTCGTACAAAGCGTATCCAATGCTCGTGCGCTCGGCCGAAAGTAAGCCAAGGAAGATCACATGCATAGAGATAGGAATGTGGCGGTAGTCCGCAGGGAAGAAGTCTGGCTAATACGAGTACCTACAACTACATGGGTCCCTTTGTCGCGTTACCACCTCCAACGGTGCTCACGTCGGGCGCGCCTACGAGAGCCAGGTTCTCAATACCAGCAACGCCGTATAGCGCTGCGGCATTCGTGCTGACCCATGTGGCTTCATCGACAGCAGTAAGTGAATCACTCCCATCGATCCTCACCCTCGCCCATGGAGCACCCGGTGCAAGCCCATCCTTACTACCATCGCCCAAGAACTCTGACCAAACTCTTGGAACGAGTGTCGCGTTGTTGCGATGATTGGCGACATATGCGGTGAAGCGCGAGTGGCCCTGCATCAGACTCAGAGTGCCAAAGTCCTTGCCATAGCGCGCTCTCTGTTCAGCCTTCCCGGCGCCGTAATAGTAACAATAGTCCAAGAAGGCTTCGAAGAAAGGTTGAGTGAGATTCTTCTCCTCCGCACCGAAGTGGTCCATAAGCTGATCAATAGTCTCAAGGACGCCGAAGACACCAGACAAATGCGAAACGGTGACGTTGCCGGTGTTGTTTGGGTCTGTGGGCGGTGGTGCCCATGCACCAGTGAGACTGTTGTAAAAGGCTTCGCCAGTAGCGAATCCGTTCTTGAGCTTGGGGTATGTCATGATGGACTCGACGAGCTTTTTGCGAGATTCTTCCCAGCGAGGGCCACGGCGCTCCCACTCGATAAGGTAAGCTTGAGCAATACCAGCCCAGTCGGTTCCAAAGTTGAGGAAAAGCGCTTCGGGATCAGGGTTGTAGACGATACCCGGTTCTCGCACCTTGCGTCTCGCATCTACGCGAAGGAAGGCTTTGTCAGCATCCATGACCTCACTTACCAGGTCGCCGGTCCGCTCGTCGCCGCCGGAGATGTAGTAAAATGTCTTGCGGTAGACCGGAGTTGAGATTCTAGCCTGTTTGGCGCTGTCACTCCAGTGTTGAACGCCGTGTCTCGTCCCGAGCCCAGTGAAGTTGCCTAGATGATACGAGTCAACTTCACCTCCATGGCGCACTTGGTCGTGAGCAATTTTGTAGGCATCTGCTCTGCCGGTACGGAGGAAGAAGTCCCAGAAGAAGAGATCAGGCGACAGTTCGGAGTTATCCCAGGCATATCCACCGATATCGTACCTCCATTGATGACGATCGTTATCATAGGTATGCATGATGTCTCCATGATCCCAGAACCCGTACCAACGGCGCTGCTCGATTTGGTCTTCGTAGAACTTGATCAGGAAGTCCATGTTGTTCTCGATAGTTTGTGCTTGCGCAGAATCCACAGCACCAGGCACGTCCCAGTACGACCCAATCGCTTTGGTGTCGCGCATGTACTCTGGCTCAGGTATGAGAACAGGTGGATTGTTGGTGAATTCGGTGAGCGTTGCAAGGTGATCAGCGGATGGAGTCTTGTCAAACGCGTAGATGTAAAGCTCGTTGGTGCGACCAAGGCCGTAGGGAGTGTCGTAACCTCCTTCCCAGTCTTCGTATGTGATATCCAGAGCGTCTAGTTGCTGCTTGTAGGTGTCTTGTCCAAGGCCGTCGTGGTATGGGCGGATATCCATTGGCCCTGCCTGAGGGCTGTATAGCCACATGGTGATTGATCCAGTATCAGTTGCGGCGTTGGAGATGTCTAGACTGGTAGGATACTTCTTCCAGAAATCGCGAAGGCCCACGGCAAGACCGCCAACCGTGGCGCCGCCGAGATATGTCAAGCCACCCGAACGTGTGCCTCCAGGGATCTTGACCCAGCTTTGGCCGGCCTTTGTGCGCTTCTTGAGGTTGAAACCGTCCGAAGAGAGTTGTGTCAGGCGATAGTCACTCCATGTCGGGATCCACTGTAGACGAGTGGTCACCCTCTGATCCCATGTAGAATTAGGTGGCAGAACAGTGCCATTGAACTGACCGGATCGAATGTCGACACCTGGGTCTCGACGTAGACCAGTAATGCCCTTGACGGCTTCGTGCAGCATTCCGCCATCGACACCCGCGATTCGGACATGACGATCGTAGAACTCCTCTTCAGCTAGGGGAACATCGAAGCGGATGCCGATACCCGACATGAAGTCTTTGTGCATATCTCCGTCATAGATGATGGTGTGAATGACCCGAATTGCTTCGGAGTTGGCGTAGAGGTAGAAACGAACGGTAAAAGGTATCCAGTCGTCATGAGCGCCATCTCCGTCGATAGTATGGATGCCGTTGACTGTGACTAATGATCGAACGGTGTTTTCCTCCGATACAGTGACGTTCGAGATCTTGCTGGTGAAGCTAAAGTAGTCAATGCCGGTTGGCTTGCCATCTTCGTTGTCATCAGGAGTGCCGTTCTGAGAGCGTAGGACGAGGTGGCCGTTGCTTCCGACCGTCTTTCCGCCGGCTTCAATGGTGGAGACCAGAATGTTGCCCGACTTGGGAAAGGTTGCTGAGACTTTGCCGGTATTGACCATGATGGAGCTGTCAGAGTCGGTGATTTGGATGCCATTGGCTTGACGCTTGTATAGCGAAGTAGAAGCATTGCCTGCACCAGAAGCCGTGATTGTGTATTCGCTGGCCGGCGCTTCGCTAGCTCCTAGGGCATGTCCGGTCCACTTCAATGAGCCGTCCGGCCAATAGGCCGTCACCCACGACTGAAGTTCCGCATCTCCTGAGATGGTGAAGGTTGTGGCGTTCGCAGGGTGCTGCCCACGAGGCCACGGTAGGCCGAATGTCACACCGGCGAGGTATTCTGGTGTATCTTCGAGCCACTTGACTTTGACAGAGTCGCTTTGGGCGGTGGCATAGCCGACCAGCCCAGCAAGCCCAATGAAAGCCTTCAACATCGTGAGATGGAGCAAAGAGTGAAAGATGTCGCAACCAGATAGCAGGGTTGGCCTTGTTCTTGACACTCCAAAGGGCGAGCATTTTGTACTTGTACAGTACGTTTGGCCCAAGTACCTGCCTACGTCTTGACCGCAACGGGCTGTGGCCACTCCAATATTCCGCTCGCCATGTCGCTTTCGGTAGTATACCCGTGGGCTAGCCTGCACGCAAGCAGGTGTATAAAGAACGTCATGTAGGTTGTCCTGAAAGGGGTTGGTTCGTGCTTGGCGATTCTTGTAAGTGATGAGTACGGGTAAAGGCACTGCGGAGGTGGCGTAGATCTACAGGTTTCCGGAAGGTGTAGACCTCTCCGGAATTTAACCTCGGGGTAGAAACAGCCGAAGTGATGGCTTCAGGTTACACATGCGTGAACTGTGTAGGTGGGCCGGCAAAAATAGGAGCAATGCCCGCGAGCTGGGCACCGCGAGGGATTAGCACACGTTTCCCGGCTTTGGCCAAAAGAAGTCAGAAATAAGTCGCCATTTCCGACCTGGGGCAAAAAAGAACAAAAACATACAACAGCGGGGATTCGCTAGTGGTCACCCACCTAACTACTAATCCGCCGGTACACTGCTTGTATATGGCTGAGCGGACGGGAAGCCTAATTCTCAGTGTCCTATGGTCGTATGTGGAGGAATGTGCAATTTAGTTGCACATATCGTCGTTGTTCAGACTTCTTCAACGTGTGGCGGATGAATCGAGCTGTAGCGCAGGCATGGGCGTCGCGCGCATGGATACGGTGGAGTCACCAGTCCAGCCTCTTCGAATAATGTGCCAGCTCGCAGGCGCCAATAACGCGGACTCCGAAAAGCAACAGCACACCAACGTATAGGGGAGTAGAAACCGAGATGGGCATGTCGCATGGCGTTCTCGTGGTGCCGGCGACGTTGACTATTTGACTATTGCGTCGGCGCGAGGAAAGGAGAAACTCGTAGAATTCCGGTGCAGTGGATGAGCGAAAGATGCCTATATAAGCTAGCAATCATTTGCGCGGCGCAGTCACCCCTGAGTCGCTGATGCCTAGGTAGGGGATGCCCGCACTAAAATCCCTGTTCGCGACTGCGCCGAGCGCGCGTTGACGCCTATATCCTGTATTGATGCCGACTTGTTGCTATGAAACTACGTCTCTGCTACATCTCCGTATCGCTTGACAATTTTCTCAAACACCTCGTCTAGAGTTGCCTTGCCCAAGCTGTAAAACTCCACATTCAGGTCGTCCTTCGCGGCCTCCAATGTCCTGATCAAGCCCGCGAACTCATTACCCTCGGCCGGAATCTCAAATCTGATCTGACCGCCCTGCGTCTCGCGGCTGACGTTCGCCAAGGGAAAGGTGACAGCAATCCATTCCTTCATCTTCTGCAGTTCACGCGGTGTGGTGCAAGGTGCTGAGCGCGACACGAGATGAATGTGATATTCGCTGCCTGCACGCTGCTTCAGGTCTTCGCGGTCATCAAGAGCGAGCATGCGCGACGAGACGATGCCAATGCGGTCGGCCAGGGCGTCGGCCTCCTCCATCGAGTGCGTCGTGAGTACAACGGCACGTCGCTTTGCAATGGTTTGCAGGCAGCGCCACATGACGCGCTTCGCATTCGCGTCGAGCGCCGAAGAAGGCTCGTCGAGGACCAAGACATGCGGGTTTCCGACTAGTGCGACAGCCAGAGACAGTTTGCGCTTGGTGCCACCGGAGAGCTTCTGCGCCAACTGTTCAGTCCAGTCGCTGAGACCGCAGGCTGCTATCACGGTCGACACGTTATGTTCCACGTCCCTGACTCCTCTTATTTTGGCAAAGAAGCGCAGCGTCTCACGGACCGTGAGGACGTCAGCAGAGTCAAACTGCGGGCACACACCAAGACTGGAGCGTGCTGCAAGGGGACTACTCAGGATTGGGTTACCGGCGATGTCAATTACGGATCCTGGTGTTGAGGGTTTGATGTCGCCACGAATCATCGAGATGATGGTTGATTTGCCAGCACCGTTGGGTCCAAGTAGAGCAAAGATCTCCGATGTCTTGACGCCGAACGTGACATCGTCCACTGCAAGGTTCTTGCCAAAGGACCTAGTCACAGATTCAACCCGGAGGTCAATGTCAGGTGATGCCAGCCGTCTACGTTCGGTAAGTAGATCAGCCGTGTACATGTCTGTCGCCTCTTTATCGCTGACCAGACTTTTGCGGTGCAATGAAGGCAGAACGAAGCCACTATCCCACCAAATGAGAAGCACAAACAAGAGAGCAATTTGCACAACCAAAAACAAGATGGGCCCGCCGTACAGATAGAGCGATCCGTCGCTGTGGCCGTTGCACTTCAACCCAAGCTGCTGAAGACCGATAAATAGCGTCCTTTCCAAGCTGACTACTGGCGATATGATGGCGAGACCAAAGTACAGGGCGCTCATCGTGGATTCCAGGTTTGCGTATGGTGTGGTGGCCTGGATCTCCATCACGCCAGCGAAGTGGGCAAAATAGACAATGACCTGCATCAAGGCCATCAAGAACCAAGCCGTGACTGATTTCTTTGTAAACATGGAGAAGACATAGCTGAGTAGCGCGCACGCAATTCCATACAGAAGGAAGATGACGAAGACCAGACCGAGTCCATGCCAGACGGGGGTCGACATGGAAAGAAGACCTGTAGCAACAGCACTGATTATGACGACGAAGGTACCATCGAAGGCCAGATGGGAAAGCCAAAGTGGCACTGGACGGATCCCGTTGGAGTATTGCATCGAGCGGACGTTTGACAGGCGCTCATCCGTCGGGTATAAGACGAAAAACACTGGATAGCTATTATACATGTCAGCTTTGTTGTGCTAATTGCGCGAATGGTTAAAACATACCAGGCCATGATCAGTCCATAATAAATGATGAACATCGTAGCATCGGAAGCCATGAGACTCGGGATGACAGTACTGGCGAACTCGTTGTAAGAACTCGAGATGCCAACACCACCAGCCATGACATTGTAGAAGTTCAGCATTTGTTGCATGGCGGCGCCTCCGCTGATGTCGCCCATGATAGTGGGGTTGGTTGAGCTATCACCCATCCAGATCCCGCCTCTGAGTTCTGTGGTGGGAAAACCACCATCAGAGATGTATCTGGGATGGGCAACTAGTTCTTTCCAGTCGGTCTGAACTGCTCGCGCGAATTCTTCGTACGTATCGACGATCAATAGCTGGTTCTCAAGCTGTGAAGAATTCGTGTACCCGGATTGATAGGTGTCAGAGTAACTCAAAGTGTGGTTGGTAGAGTAGACGTCTGCCATCAAACTAAACCTTGTTGAGTTGAGTCGATCGGAAGGCCCAGCAACGTACGACTTTCGAAGTTCGTCCGTTCCAGAATAATAGGCATTACTCTCGGTATAGAAAACACCAATATCGTTCCGATATGCGTTATCGTCAACGAGATCTGCTTGTACTGGGCATCCCAGCGGAGCATCGAACTTCTTGATCAGTAGAGGCGCAATACCTGCACCAACAAGAGCGAAAGCAACGGCGACAAAGTAAGGTAGCCATCGACGTTTGAGAACCTTGACTCTCTTGAGCAACAGAATCCACCACTGCTTGAGAAGAGAAACGGGCTGCCCTTCGGACAGTTCATAGTCCAATTCGGTTGCGTCGACAATGATGTTCTCAGTCTTCACTTTCACAGCATCATCTTCTTCGGTCTTCTCCTCCAGAGGTTGGATCGAATCACCGGTGATTTTGATGAATAGTTCCTCCATGGTCGGTCCGGAAAGCTGGTAGCCACCGAGGTTGTGATTGTCGAGCTCGGCCGCAGCCTCTGCAGCATGAGCGGCTGTCGTGACATGGTACGTCGTCATGTGCCGCGATTGTTCCGTTCGGAGTTGCCCAGAGATACTGATATCGACGTCTGCCTTGTAAGGCAGTTTGACAGTATAGCCATCACCAAAGCCATGTTTCAAGGACGCCGAAGTGCCTGCAGCTCGAAGAGTACCTTCGTACATGATGGCAATATCATCAGCAAGGTAATCGACTTCGTCGAGGAAGTGAGTCGTCATAATTATCGTGCGTTGTTGCCGCTCAGTGAGTAAGATTTCCCAGATTCTTCGCCGAGAAATTGGATCGAGGCCGGTGGAGACTTCATCCACACAACAGACTGCACTTCCACCCGCGAACATCATTGCCATCTGGAGTTTCCGCTTCTGGCCACCAGAGAGCGTCTTAGCTCTAGCTGAAAGCTTCTTAAGAAGATCGACACCTTTAGCGAGATCGTTGACGGCCTCGTGGTTCGCTGCTGACAGACATTTCAGATCGCTGAAGATGCGGATATGCTCTTGGACCGTCAATTCAGGCCAGATGACATTGTTCTGTGGAGCGTATCCGAGTCCGCCTGTTGGGTCGATGATGATGTTTCCAGACGTAACCCTCTGTTCACCCGTGATGCAGTTCAAGGTCGTCGACTTGCCACTTCCATTAGGTCCAAGCAAGCAGAAAATCTGACCAGGGTATGCGTTGAAGTCGACACCTTTGACCGCATTGACATTCTTACGACGTCGAAACATTCGAGCAAAGAAGCCGGGTTTGTATGTTTTGCAAAAGCCAGATACCCTGACGGTTGGATCGCCTGCGCTTGCTGGCCGTTCGAAACGTCTGTGCGGAGATGCTGTTGAGAAGAGAAGATGCTCTACTAGAAAAGCCAAGGTCGGAAACACCAGGACGTGTAAGACCAATATGAGCCAGTGGATGTAGAGCGGAAATCGCCAATGTTCGGACTCGCTTTCCTCATTGGCTCGATGCATCATGCTAACCGGTTTGCCGGCTGCTTCGAATGTTGCCATGCGAGTGATGAAGTATGTCAAGTTTGCTGAAGGGAACAAGACGCTCAGTATGGCGCAAACAGTACTCGTTTGGTTGAAAAGCACCGCTGGGAGGATGGCGGCGACTAGTGTGACGACCACCATGATGGGGCCACTCAACTGGGCTTTCTTGAAGAAAGAGGCCCCGAAGAGAGAAAATCCAGTCACGGCGAGCCCGTAAAGTAGAACAAATCCAACGGGTAAATAGTTAGAAGTGACGGGCAAGATGGCGGCGGAGATGACGATGGCCACTGCCAGCCAGCCGGGAAAGTAGACCAGCACAAACGATGCGTAAGCCGCGATTTGTCGAACGGCTGTGCCGCGGAACTTGGACCCTCCCATTATCATGGTGTCAATCAAACTAGACATTCCTAACTAACGTCAGTCCGTGTTATGGGAATAAATGGTGCCACGTACCAATTTCGCGTTCGCGAGCAACAAATGATGTCAGATGATCGACCACACCAATGAGTGTAAGAGTAAAGATGGGTGGAAAGGCCCATGTCACAAGACTTAGGTATGTTGCGGTTCGATCGGCCTCTAGCGCTCCCTGGTCCTGACGAGTGAACGCGATGACATCTAGCTCGGGGGGGATCTGCGGTGTGTTGTCTGGTTGGGACCGTGCGATAATCTCGAGCTCGAGCGCGCGCTGCAAAGGGGATGTGGCTACTTCGATAGCGTTGCTGGTGCTCGTAATGTCGATGGGACCATACGGCGTGGTCAACCCTTGGATTGTGTAGTTCCAGTATCCGGCTGACGACTCGTTGGTTCCCTCGGTTGAACTGGAGAAGAATACAATGGCGCTGTAGCATGGTGAGTTGCCTTCGTTGTCGGTTCGGCAAACTACAGCAAGGCTTCTGGTATCGTCGTATAGCTCTGGCGTTTTCCCGGCAGCGCTGATCCGTCGTGAGAGTGTATCAATGACAGCTGAGACCTCTCCTCCTTTCATACCGTTGTCGACGAAGCCTACAATGTCGTGACCAGGACTTGCTCGTAGTCCTTCCTCAAGGGAGGGTAGCTATTCGAGTGTTAGTATTGGTTCGATTCTGTATTGATGCCTGAAAGATTGGGATACCACTGACCTGGCGAGCCGAAGACACACCCCAATTGCCCCCAGAAGCAAACCACGTCTTGCTGAAAGCGATAACAAGAATGACGACAAGTGGAATAGCGAGTGCACGAATGAAAGTGGTGATTGGTCTTCTCAAGCAGACAAGCAAGAGATTTTTGCGCACGAGCGCCCAAATTTGGCGGAATAGCAAATCCATGGTTGCGATCAGGAAGGAGTGAAGAGAAATTCAAGAAGGCATTCAGCGAAGGCTCATATGGAAGAAACTCGAGTTGTTGAGGTAAACGAAAGGTGTTGAAGTCAGACCTGAGGGGTATGGAGTGTTGACAGTCAAACTGCCGTAGAGCTAGTTTGCACATGCCTAGTGATTCAAGCATTAGCCCAGAGTGAAGGGGCTGTGCTAACGCAAGTGCGGGTAAGCTAATGTGCCTGTGCATAGACAGCGACCGTTTTGTCGCGCGTCTTATGCGGTCCCTCTCCTACTCGGGTCCACCGATGTCTCCGCTAGCCATCTCGGGCAGACGACAGAGAAATGCACGGACTGGCCAACGCGGAAGGATAGCCTGCAGACTCATATATTGAGGTCAGAACGGGCTGGAATAGATGCAGTAGTAGTAGCTGACGCGTTCGCCTGCGGACAGCGTAACAAACGCTTTTGCTTGTTGCTCCCTATGCTCGTGAAATTAGCTTCTTACTCCCGAGGTCCCCTTAGCCATGTTCTTAGCTATGTGGTTTTGAATTATCTCGTGTCGTGCCATGACAAGAGATACAGCCGATCAAATGTGTGTTCGCGATTCAGTGCGAAGTGCAGCCGTACGAGACCCCAGGAGCGGGCAATGCGTAAGGCGGAGTTCGTGCTCGGGCCATCTGCGCCGTGATTGGAGCGGTCGGGTTCTCTTTGTGATGATTGGACGGCTATACGCTAGGCGAGGCTGAGTGGAGAATGTTGATACCCGAAGCTTTGCACCACACCAACGATTGTAACGTAGTTTGGATTCATCTGTTTGGTGTTGCAAGCAACAGGGAGTGGATAAGTATGAGGTGCAGGGCCCCCGCAGCCTGCTCGTGATTGATGGGTTAAATGATTGTGGGGCTCGACCAACGATTGCAAGGACGGGCATTTTGTGTCATCATGCTGTTGTTGATACCTCCCCTCCGGCGTGTGATTAAGCAACAGGGCGTTGCGCGACCACGGCCGTTGCGCGCACAAGTACGTCAGACTACCGCTCCAGTCTTCTTGGACAGTGCCAATTTCCATGCGCGTATCGCACCGCGTTCGTCGTAAGAACGATAGCGACTTCCTTAGGCATCACCGCGTCAACGTGGAAACAAGAGGATGTCGGGACTTTTTTTATAATCGGTGGCCAACAGAATACCTTTCCACACCCGACATTGTGGTCGCCCCGAGTCCCTTACAGAAGATGCACTTCCCTGCGCGCAGCTACACGGCGCGCGTAAGCATGAAATATTAAAACAGACTTGACGCCAGGTATCATTAATTGGTTCTCGCGACGATAATGAACAGCCACTTCACTCTTTAGATGGCTCTCTGTCCATAATCGTGGGTGAGCCTCTTCAAAATGCGGCGATCTGTAGATGATGGGCAGTCGCCCCGCGTCAGTTTCAGCCTCACGCGTTGATTTGGCCCCCACACCTATTCTACATAGCCTCCACCATCTCACAAGATGGCGGTGCTAAGGCAGTGGCTATTTAGGTCTTTCAAACATAACGATCTAAGAGTCCCCGGCTTCCTATCTTCATCCTCCCGGTTTTTGCACTCCCATCAATGTTTGTACAATATGGGCAGGCTAAACCGTTGCTTCCCGAATCTCCTCCCCACGCTAACCGGATGGAGGAGACTAGCCATCCTGAACATCGGCGCGATGACCCTTCTAACACTATTACTTTGCGGCTTCACCGTGGCTGCGATCCTCAAAACAGACCTCTCGCAGATTTCAGAGTATCGCCTTAATGGCGACCACGTCCTCGTCGACAGAAGGGCCGCTGTGGGCAACGGCTTCCTGTTCCACGAATCGCCCTGTCGCGAACCAACGGCGGGTAACATCAACACAGTCCTCCATCTACTCGTCAACGCCGTGTCCAGCGCGATCTTGGCGTCTTCTAGTTTCTTCTCGCAGGTACTCAGCTCACCAACGCGTGCAGAGGTGGACGTTTCGCACGCGCGGGGCAGGCCTGTCGACATCGGAGTGCTCTCATGGCGGAACGCACTGCGATTGTCTCGCTTCAAGACTGTGGCCTGGGTCGCACTGCTAATTACATCGCTGCCATTGCATTTGCTCTTCAACAGTGTCATACTGCAGTCGGCCGATGCCGAGGTCTCTCTCCAGGGGGATGATGCCGCCTGTTATGTAGGTGTCTCAAATCCGCTTCTCCTGACGGTCACATTAGCTTGTCTGGTTAAAGTGATAATCTGCGTAACGGTCGTGTGGGTTCTAGGAATCCAGGAGCCTTTGGTCACACCTGGGGATGCGATAGCTTCGTTCATCTCCATCCCGGACGCGTCTACTGCTGGCAGGCTGGATATGTTGACTCCAGCTTCGAAGCACGGGGCTGGCAGCAGTAATGTGATATTGTGGCGGTACACCTCTTTGAGAAGATCATCTTGTCTCTCACCCCGGACGTGGAAGTGTACATACATGCTGTTCATCACCTGCATCGTGGCTGCAGCTGGATTCCTTGGGAAAGAATATCACATGATACAGAAAGAAGGATGGTAAGTCAAGTCCCACACGGATATGCTCATTACTTACCCAATCATTCAGGAGTCCAAGGAGCTATCGCGACTCTAGCAGCGCCTACTCGATCTTGCCGCCAAAATCCCCCGTTCCCTTCATCACCACGGTACTTCTGGCCAACATGCCACAGCTTTCCCTCTCGGTCTGGTATCTTGCTTATAACGCGATACTTACTCGGCTACAACTCAGCCAGGAATGGGCTCTGCTTTCCACATCATTCCGGCCTCTTCGAGTCTCGCAGCCCAAGTACTTTCTCCTTCTTCCCTAAACGTCCATAAGTCCATGTAGTGCCACCATAATGGTGAAGCAGTAAACGAAATGATACACTAACGGAAGGTCCCATAAGAGGTCGACAGGTCGGAACCTACAGGCTCCAGCTACCATACAAATACAGCATCCTCCTTATCAGTTTGAGTGCTATCATGCACTTCCTGCTTTCCCAAAGCTCGTTCGTACTACTATATACGGATAGTAAGTATTTGTCCAAAGATAACACACCACACCCGCACACAAACTCAAGAGACATAAGCTTATGTTTCGTATCAGACGATTACAATGAAGGTAGCAGCGCGTACGCAGACATGCAAACCCTACCCAATGACCTTCTAGTCGTCTGGGGTCTATCTCCAACATACTTAGGAGCATTGCTTGCCGTGGCCGTGACCGCTATCCAGGTTCCCTGGCTTCTGGGCTTGTTGCGACTGCCCGGGCACATGCCGCCCATCGGATCAGATTCGCGGGCCATCGCGGCTGCTTGCCACGTTTCGCCATTAGCCAAAGCCCCACTCAACGAGGAGACGGGCGAAAAAGGAGAAGGCTACGAGCCTGTGTTAATGGCCGAAGAGGAGGGAAATAGTGGCTTGGTAGCCGTGTCGAGGAGTCTTCTCTCATGGGGCGTAGTGGAGATGCCGCAAGTTTGGTATGATGCTCACGTGGATCGGCGAGATAGTTTGGCAAGCCGCCGGGCAGTGGGGCATCTGAGTTTTGGTACCACACTGGATATTGTGAAAAGACCTATTAGGGGACGTTTCTACGCATGAACACGCGCTCAGCAGCTTGATAGTGGTGATACATAGCTGAATGTTTTATCATGGACCCTTTCTGGTCTCTGCGCCCCTAGCACAGCTCTGCTTGTTGTAGTTGTACTAGACAAGGTCTAGTCAAAGGCGTCGTTGAGCCTACGATCCAGTCGCGACAAGAAAACGTATAGCTGATTGGGGCTGTTTAGGTAATTATGCATGTGTTGTCGCGTAAGGTTGTGCGGGGCTGTGTAGGCACATAACACACATGGTGGCGTTTCAGGCTTAGTGGTGCGACTTTGATCGTGGAACGCGATATCAGATTAGTAGAAGGAACGAACCAAGAACTTGGTGACATTGTCATACCTAGGTAACATCGCTAAGGCATCAACGTGATAGGATCAGGTACAGAAGGTGCACCTTGAGGAGAGGATGTTCTCTGGAGATGTGTAGAAGCGCCACAACACATCCTCGCATGCGGGGCGTAGTACTATTAAAGCCACCGACGCTTCGGCGTCCTTCTTCCGCTTACGATTGGTCCAAGATCGCTTTCGCCCCCAATGAACTGATAGCTGTGTAGCCATGTAAATAGCTTGGTTTCACATTAATGTCTGCCGCTTATGAGCCTGTTCATCCTACTTCGAGGCTTCCAAAACTTTCTGTACAAAACACAACCATGACTGCAACACCAACAGCAACGTTTATAACCGACCAGAACGTTATTAAAGAATTCAATCGCGGTTCAATTACTACCGTTTTCACGCCTCCACCCTTATGTACTGAGACTATTACGTCCGCCACCGGTGCTTTATTCGTTGGACACTACAGACTCGACTTTGACCAGGAGTGTTATCCTAGAGCGTCCAATCCATCTGAAGCACCAGCACCATCTTCTGGATGGGATGCATATTACTGTGCGCGAGTCGTAACCGAATCGGATATACCGACTAATGCTGCGTAGATAGCCCGGCCATATGCCCTGCCGGTTGGACCGCTGCGACTACATTCACGAGCGCCATCCCCATACACCCAACACCATCGGCATATTTCCTCGGGTCTGCCACTACAGCGGCTTTATGCTGTCCTCTGTAAGTACTCATCGTTGGCGTCATCAAAATACAAACTCTTCAGCGCTGACTTCCCCTTAGTGGATACTCGTTGTTTCTAGATGGCCACCAATGCTCATCCATAGTAACAGCAAACCAAGTTCTCAAGTGCGCATCTACGATGGTCCATTTAGCTCGAGCAATTTGAGCATAAATACACAAGCCTCCGATTGGTGGGTGTTTGGCGACGGTGTGCCTATCATGTGGCAATCAACAGACTCGGCGGTACTTGCGCGCGCTTCCCTCACGGCTTCGAGCCAAACAATCACTGGGCCAACGCAGAACCCACCAAACACATCTGCTACAGATGACAGCTCGCCTACCGAGACCCTGTCCTCATCGTCTGGCGGCTTTTCCACGGGTGCGAAGGCCGGATTGGGAATTGGCATAACAGCGGCTGTACTCATACTGCTAGCAATTGGTTTTCTTCTTGGGAAGAGAAGACGACGGCGTCATGGGCACACGCCAGCCACTAAGGAAAGCTCCATGCCAGGCCAAGATGCTCAACAGTATGGAGAAAGCGACCACGGACATTTGGGATATCAGGAGATGCCGGCGGATCATGCGAGGACGGAGATGCAAGCAGATTCGGTGAGGGTATTGAACCAGCACGAGCTACCTAATGTATCGCATTAGCCAGATGTTGCTTATGTGGAGAAATGAAACAGAATAATGCATAATGTAAGGTCTGAAATTCTAACTAGCATATACAAGTCTACTGCGCCATGGGGGAATTGGTAAAGACAGTGAGTGGCGAGACTGTAAAGATGTGCGTCGGAAGGACAGTGTTGTGAAGGAACGGTAGTACTGTTGGCCGGTAAGATAACTTCATCGTGAAGGCTTGGTGGTGATGGCGAGTCCGGAGAAGATTCTTGTCATTCGTTCTGTCAACCGTGATGTGATGTTCAGGCTCACAAGTGTCGCGAACCATCACACTCCGACTACTTTTGACCCAACTTCTTCCAGCGTATACTAGTCGCGCGCAGTGAAGCCGTCCGCTCTGGCCTGCTTCGGCATGTATATCTCCAACTTTTCCTGGAATCGGCCATCAGGCAGGTCCATGTGGGCACTCTCCCAGTTCGTGTTCAATAGCTTTTGAGCAAGACCGTTGGAGTCGATGGCCGAAGTCTGATAGCATACGTCCTTGTCCCAGTCAAGGACTGGCTGCCACTTCAACGCTCCTTCTGTTCCGGCGATGAGTGGATTCAGTATCATCCCGGTCAAACTCGCGGTGGTCACGCTGATGAGAGCGAAGAGCAGGGCGGCTTTGGTGGCCGAGAAGCGAGACATGACGTATCTAAATTGGGTATGGATTGGTGGTGAGAAAACTGAGGCGTGAATTGGAGATGAGACAAACGAGGATTTGGTAACCGGTTTTCTGCTCTTGATAATTGCTTGATGTTCTGAGTTTGCAGTTCCATCGCCATAGAGGAGCAGACGACCCGACTTTATATCAGACATATTCTCAGCTGGCTTATACTCGTAAGTAGATTTGGTCGCTTACACTAGACGTCTCGGACGTCCGGCAACGGTGATGTTCAGCTAGTCCGGCGTGTACTACCCGAGTAACATCTTCAGCTATCACTGCGATCGTGGCGTCGTAGGATCCTCCATAAACGTGATGCACAGTGCTGTGGAGGTCATACAGACGTCAGGCCAGTACAGTCAGTACGACGTGTTGTACCAGCGGAGATCTCTTTGTGTTCCTGCGTTTGCATGGCACCAAGCCGGGGTATGCTGCAACTGGCCTAGGTTAAACCGCAAAGAGCTCAGCCCAAGCAATTTCAACGTCGGAACACTTCTTATCGCTCTCGCTGAGCCATCTGATGGTCGCTCGGATGAGATGCGTGAAACTATGTAGCTCTATGCTAGTGGCCAATATGTCAGCATTACTGTAACGTTCTCAAAGGGCCAGTGTAAGCTAGTTCTTTCCACAAAGAGATTGATGAAACGTGAGTGAATGCATTACAGTCTAGGTATCGATGCTGAATGAATACGGGTATGGAGGCGTGAGCCTGGAAAGAGAAGAAAGACTGACGCGCGAAACGACAGCGCAAACTAAGCCTTGAGCTCAGTGGTACCAGCCTCATCGCTTGTGCGGTTCTCCGCCTTGCGCGCGTACTCTGCACCAGTGATGGACTCATCACCCATATCCCAGTCTTGCGCAAGGTCCTCGAGCGTCCTGCGCTTGGTCTCCGGGATCAATAGGGTAGTGAAGATACCACAGAACATGAAGGCTGAGAAGATTTGCATGACGTGGTTCAACCATGGGTTCTTGTTGGTCGCTGTAGCGCCCCGAGTTCGAAGAGGAGAGATAGCTCCCTGAGCGATGATGGAGCCGATCTTTCCTGAGCCAGCAGAGATTCCGTGAGACGTGGAACGGTAGCGAGTTGGGAAGCACTCTCCAGGCACGATGAAGGTGGTCGTGTTGGGACCCCAGTTGAAGAAGAGCTGGATGAGGACGTAGATGGCCAACATGGCGTGGTGGCTGAGGTGACTGTAGGCGAATCCCTGAGTGACAATTAGTGTGTGTCTTTAATGCATCAAATTGGAAGATATACGTACCCAGACAATGAAGAGGATGGTGAGAATGGTAAAACCAGCGAGTTGGAGTGTTTTGCGTCCGACCGTATCGATAGTCGCTACTGCAAGCCAGTATCCGGGGATAGCTCCAGCGCACACCAGGATAGCGTTACCGGCGGCAAGGTTGTGCAGATTGAAATATAGATTGTCACCGTTGGCGTAGCCGATGGCTTGCAGAACAGTCGAAGAATTCAGGCCAAGTCCGTAAAATGCAACATCGAGGAGGAGCCATGACATGGCGGTACCGAAGAGGATCTTGCCGTTGCGGAGCTTGCCGTAGAACCTAAAGAAGTCGCCGAAAGAAGCCTTGGGAACTTCAAGCTGAGCAGTGGCCTGGGTCTGGGCAACTTGGGCGATCGCATCAGGGTCACCGTTGCCATGCTTACCAGAGAGGTACTGGTTGGTGTCTGCGTTGGCCTTCTCGACGTCACGGGCGACATCGAACGTGTAGCGAGGAGTCTCGGGAATGGTAAGACGGTAGTAGAGCGCGATGCAGGCTGGGACGATGCCAATTCCGATAAGGGCACGCCACATCTTGTCAACTGCGATAGAGCACTGACCATCACAGTCTGCGTAGCCCTTAGCGCCTGAAAGCGTGTCCTTGAAACCGGCAACGAGGCAAAGCATGACCAGAGCACCACCGAGCTGACCAAAACCTTGCATAGCGAAGACGGCACCCATCATGGCGCCGCGCCACTTGGTCGTGGCAAACTCGGAAGTGATGATAGACGATAGAGGGTAGTCACCACCAATACCTGATATTCATTAGCAAGGCGTCAATTTATGAGTTGACAATAGACTCACCGATTCCCATCAATACACGCCAGAATATGATCAGACCGACGACTGAAGTGCCGGGACCGGGGCCAGTGAGAGACTGAGCGAGTGTGGCGACGATGATGAGAATCAACTCAAGACCATACATCTTCTTACGTCCGACAATGTCGGCCAGCGTACCGAAACCGACTTGTCCAAGAACAGTACCAGCTGATGTTGCAAGCTTGATAGCAGTATCTTGTTGAGTGAGAAGAACACCCTTGTTGTCGTGCTTGTAGACGATACCCAGCATGATCGTCAAGAGCGACACGCAGAAGATGTCGTATGAATCCGTGAAGAAACCGGTACCTGCCACCAAGATGGCGCGCACATGGTACCAGCCAAAGGGCGCTTTGTCGATCTCAGCGAGCGCGAGCCGGCGTCGCTCATTGGGGTCTTCAATATGCTAAAGGTAGTTAGTAAGGCTGCTGCTTGATATTTGGCCGTGTAACCGTACCGCGAAGTCATTGTTGAAGTTGTGGAACGCGGCGTTGCCGCCAGCTGTCTTGTGAGCCATTGTGAAGCTTTGCCGAGACTTGTCAAGAGATTAGACGAGGCTTGAGTCCGGAAAAGACGGCTGTGGGAGCTGGTGATCAGTCGTAGAGGGTGCAGGACCAAGCTATATACCTGCACTCAAGCTTACGCCGAGTGCTGAGCATCATGCTTGTATGCCAAACTTACGGTACCCACGGACCAGTAAGATCATTCCATTCTGGCACGCCCGCAGATTTGCAATCTTTCCTTCGGCCGTTCCGCTGTAAGCAGCAGACTCACTCGTGAAAATGCGCCTTTGCAAGCCCAGGCCGCCACAAGGCTTGACGCGTCTTGAGGGTCATCCTTGCCGCGCATCTGGTGTGGTGAAGGGAACGCGAGGAGAGGGCGTTCGGTCCAATCATGTACCCCACGTGCTACGCCAAGACGCTAAAAGGGGCACGGCCAGAACGCCTTCTCCCAACATCGCCCCGATTGACGTTTCGAAGGATTGGAGCTTCTTCGCACTCAAGACTCTCTTGGAAAGCTTGGGTGCATCCCTATGATCCTGTGGCTTGCCTTTAGACGCTCGATCAACACCTACAATGACATCCAAGGCGTATGCCACCGACCTATCTGGTCAGTCTTGTCTCGTCTTCTCCGAGGAATGCAACACGCTCAAACCGAACCTGGTCCCGTACCCCATGCCTGGAGCGACTAGTACAGGGCCCGTCAGATGGGGTTTGCATGCATCAAGCAACTGTCTCCGCTAGCCTGCCATGCGAGACCCGTCTTCTGGACTGTCGGTTGGTCCCGATACCAAACTACTTACCAGCACACTGGCGAATTAGCTTGCTCACTAATACCCAACTGGTTATCAGGGAGCAAAATTTTGACACTTCGAGGTGCTGGTCATCGGAGGCAACCCCGTCTAGGGTTGCTGCAATGACCGACCCAAGGTTTCATTGGAACCCCCACCGACATCCATGTTTGACTGCCGCCTGATTCTCACCAATCCCATTGTTGCACGTGGGATAGTACTGCAGCGATCGAATTTATTGGTGCTATAAGTGTTTCGGTCGCTGGACCTGAGCGGCAATCGTACCACCAACCCAACAACAGGTGGATAAGCCTACATCGCAAGCGAAACACTGTTCCAGCGTCCCAAGCATTGAAGCTTTTGCAAGATCTACGGACTTTCGTCGCATTCGCACATGCAATTCCATCCACACCATCGACCGTGTCCAATCCGGACTCACCCAAGACAGCGGTCTCGGGAGTGGGTCACTGCAAGAACTGCAGGGGGGTTGCAGTTGGGTGCCGCGACCGGGCTGTTCAATCCCGCATTGCAGAATTAGAATCTTCTACTGGGCACCCTCGTCTTTGATGACAATACGTCGCGGCCTCGCCGAGATCGAGAGGCTTTGTTTCCTACCGAATGCCTCGCCTCTCACAACGTCTTGATCCGAAGTTTGGTTCCTACCGGTCACTCCATCTACCGGCATACAGTCCGCGGATCTCGCGCGATCGGCTTTCCACAATTCCAATTGGTCGTATGGTCTATTCTCTTCCGCTGGTATTCCTTCAATCAGCGCTTGATGCTCTCATCACATTCTTCTCTTCTTTCCTCCTGCTCGGCTCCTAGTCATTGGGGCTGCCTGCTCTTTAGGTGGAGACGCCATCTTTTGTCGCTTGACAAGCCACTTCGTCAAATACTGAGGATGTTCGAAGCGGAAGAAGTCGTTACAGAACTGTTCTCTTGCGCGTCAACGCTCATCTTCCAACCATTTCCTCACCAACCTTCGTTTCGGCGCTGGCTGTCTTACCCAAGGCCATGGTCGCTTGAACGCGTGTGTGATTCTAATCGCTTGGTTACGTTGTCGTGGTTGCCTCGGGTTATCTTTCTCCGCTTTCGTCCTTCTCGGATGGGGAACCGGGTAGCGCAAGTCGCGCAACATACAGTGCGTTTCTCTAGGCTCGGAAGCGTCGTCATCCCCTCCTGGACGCTCCTTCTCTGATTGAGGCAGAATGTGAGGAATACTTCCCCCTGGCTCGCGATTCCGTGGATCATCTTGAGACGATCGTTCCTCGTTCGGCACACCACATTGTGACATCATAATCGATGGCGTGGGCGGATCTTCATGAGAATGATTCGGCTCCAGTGTCCTCCCTTGCTTCGTTGTGCAATCCAAAGGCCAAGCTCCCGGCGGCGAAGGCCTCCATCGCGGGAAGAGGAGACCTTCAGGCCATCCCGTCCATGGGGTCTTCTTCGTCCGCCTCCGGCCTTGTCTACTTTTGTTGAAACGCTGAGCATCCTGCGTTAGTATGGACTGATAATGATCATCATGCTGCGTCCGCAAGACTGGGTTAGCCAATATCTCGTACGCGCGATTGATCTCTTTCATGCGCTGTCGTTCGTT